GAACAAGTCAGGATACAATTCTCAGGAAACAGAAAAGGCGCTAATCCAATCACCGAAAGCGCACGGCCAGTCTCGACGTAAGGCCTTCTAGCTGGCCCTAGTACGCAGACGAGTCAGATCACGAGTCTGAGACTCAGATCACGAGTCTACTCGTGATCTGATTGGCTATTGAAACCTGACTGTGCCCGTTCACTTACAGCGCACGGGGGCCTGCTCTGTTTAATCTGAAGGCCCCGAGCAAGTTTAATTTATCTGGCAACACAAGCTAGCTGAAATATGATTGGTTAAAAACTCTACCTTAATAAATAAGTTATTTATCAAGTGGCTTATTTTAAATAACATTGAAAGCCACTCGACTAAGTGGAAATAATATGACGTAAAGAATACAGAGAATAATTTTGTTTACATATTTATGAAAATAAAATAAATTAATGTTATTCTCAGAAAAGTAAATTTACTTTTCTGAGAATGTTTAGGCCAGCAGAGAAGGCCTTGCTGGCCCTGAGGGTCCGCCACTGTCTATGAATCTAGCGACAAAATAATCACATTCTCACGCTTGACCTCTTGTGAATTCCAGTCGGGGTGCACCATAAATATCAGACCTATATGGTTGAAATGACCATTTGCCTTGGTGGAAGTCTTGCTTGATCTGAAAAATGTTTACTGAGCTCAATGAATGAATAAATATGTCACCTCTCCATTTTCCAAAGGAACAATTCGGGAATATTCGGTGGTGCAAACGATGTCGTTGTCGTTGTAGATCCTCTCGATGGTTTGCTGTCCAAAGCGCTCGATGCAGTCTCGCTTGGAGGCTACACACACACACACACACACACACACACACGCACACACACACACACACACACACACACACACACACACACACACACACACACACACACACACCCGTGTACACAAAAACACTTTTAATGGAAATGTATGTTGTTTTCCCAGAATATTTCTTCCCCTTATACCCTCAACGCATTAAGTTTATTTTTTTTTGTCTGCATTTAAATATAATAATGAGGTGAGAACGATCTTATAAACACTATCTGGGTTTTCTGATCTTTCACTTCCAAAATCAATGTGTCGTTTTCTTGTCTCTGTGCAAATAAATAAAAAAGGTTTCTGTAACTGTATCAATGGTACTGCTTTGGGCTATCGTCTTTGGCAAATGTGCATATTTACAGCACTGCTGGAGATGCATCGATGGAAACGTTGCACATTACAGTTTACATCCATCCATCCATCCATCCATCCATTTTCTAATCCACTTATCCTCATGAGGGTCGTGGATGTGCTGGAGCCTATCCCAGCTGTCTTTGGATTGTAGGCGTGGAATACCACGAAAAGGATGCCAGCCAATCGCAGGACACACAGAGACGAATAACCACCCATGCTCACACTCACACCTAGGGACAATTTGGAGTGTTCAATCAGCCTGCCATGCATGTTTTTGGACTGTGGGAGGAAACCAGAGTACCCAGAGAAAACCCATGCAAACTCCACACAGGGAGGCCGGAGCTGGAATCGAACCCATGACCTCTGCACTGTGAAGCGGTCCACCGTGTCTCCTTCAAAGGTGACACTCCTTGAAAATTCGTTTCAGTAGCAAATACTTTAAATCGTATCATTCCTTTTGGAAGTTTTATTTTATTTTATCCATATTCTATGTCATAGGTTTTCTGCTTTTCATTCTTACTATTATTTATTCTTACATGTTCCACTTATATTGCGGTACATTTTTCAACGATGTCACTCAGTAGTTCGCTGTTTATTTTGTTGCCATTTGTCCAATAAAATCACTGAGAGTGCAACCAGTGGCTGTGCCTGTTCTTGACCACCGCAGAGGGATTACAATTCGTTCTCATCCGTGCTCATCTTGGTTGACATCTGCTCTGATCAATGGTCATCATCAATAGTACTTACAGGAGAAGTACTGCCATGGCTGGTACGTCTGCCCGAAGTCCACCGACCTTTCCAGAACCCACAGGTCTGGACGCGGAGAGTTGGCGAACTTGATGAGCACGTAGGCCACATGGAAAAGCTGCATAGACACAAATCAAGAACGTCATCAGTGACATCATCTTCATCCTGACAAGGATGCCAATGGGCTGCAGATGTTCCACACGTCGTCGTCGAGATGTCATCGGGCAGATCATGTGACCTAAGAAGCAATATTCCTTCCATGTTAGACGAAACATTTAATTTCTTAGACATGTCAACTTGTGCACCAAATTTTGTCGATCGGTGAGACTAGTTGGGGGTTCATTTTTTTTCTAGCTGTTGAAGGGGCCACTACAATGGGTTTTTGTTCTTTGAGTTGTAGAAACCTGAAATCCCTTTTCACCAGGATATCAAAGCTTGCAACATTTAACTTTTGGGGCATGTTGAGGCTAAAAAAAGGCTATTAATATATGTTATTTAATCATCCATTTTCTATAACGCGTATTGTGTTCAAACTCGCTGGGAGCCATTGCCTAATTTTGCTGACTTCAGCCGACTACACCTTGGCTCTGCATTTCACATTAGCCATTAGCATTAGCTTCTCCATCTTCTCATGTTCTTTCTTCTTGCTCTGTGTGTTGTATGCTAAGGAACTCCGCGTCCACCTCTCATGAACGCGCTATTCGGTAGAAAGGTAGCTTATTTGTCACTGAGAGTAAAGAGCTGCATGACGCAGAGCAAGCTGGCTTAGCGCCAAGCATTCTCAAGCAGATGCAAAAGATAAGATAAGATAAGATAAGATATCCTTTATTTGTCCCACACTGTGGAAATTTACAGCCTTCAGCAGCAAGATTGTGGGTAGAAAGAAGAGAAAAGAAAACACAGTTCAATTAAGTGCAATATAAATACAAATATGGATAAGGTCAATAAGTTCAATTAAGTGCAATATAAATACAATAGTCACAGTACTATTCACATTTGTTGTCATATCATTTAAATAATTTTATGACATATTTATTTATTCATTTTTTATTCAGCAGCCTGACAGCAGTCGGTAGGAACGAGCGGCGGTATCTCTCCGTCTTGCAACGCGGGTGTAACAGTCTCTGACTGAAGGAGCTACCGAGTGCTGTCAGGGCGGGCTGGAGGGGGTGGGAGGGACTGTCCAACATAGCTTTTAGCTTAGCTAGCATCCTGCTGTTGCCCACCTCATTCAGAGTTTAGATGGATTTTAACAATGATGCAAGGGAGTTTGGCGTTCTGTTTTTGATTGTGAACTTTCCCAG